TGACTAATCATGGGGTCAAGACTGGATCTGAAGCCAAGGAAAGCCAGAGTGGGGTAAACAGCCTGACAGAATATTAAGAATATTAAGTTGGGGGGCAGCTAGGTGGCGCAGTAGATAGAACACTGGCCTCGAGTCAGGAGGACCTGAGTTCAAATTTGACCTCAGACACTTACTAGCTAGCTATATGATCCGGGGTAAGCCACTTAACCCCCATTGCCTCCAAAATAAATAAATAAATAAATAAAAAGAATATTAAGGGACTGAGTACAGGTACAATAAGAGCAAAGAATAGATTTAGTGGGAATGAAGGATCACCAGGAGGGGAAGGATACAAGACAGTGGCAGGGTTTGATGAAGGTTAAAAAGTACACACCAAAGTATATCAAAATGTTCACTTCTTTATAAAAGCATCAACATTTAAAGTCTGAGCCTTTTACTTGATAGTCTTAAATTCTGTGCCAGTAACATGGGTGAATGGCTCTTCTTTCAAACAGTGGAAACTAAGGTAAGTTGTTTTGGCTGGAATGTGATGATTATACCTCTGAGTTCCTTTGCCCTTGTTAACTCAACAACGGCCACCCATCTTTTCATACTTCTTTAAGAAGAGAAACAAATGATGTTGCAGGTTGCTATTAATTTTATAACTATGACTTCTAGAAATATTGTTTAAAACTTTCAGTGGTTTCCCACTGCTTAAAAAAGAAAGTCCAAATTCAAACCTTCCACAATCTGATTCAACCTATTTAACTAACCTTACTTCTCACTACTCCCTTAAGACAATTCTGGTCTTGTCAAACAACTTCACTCATTTGTTCATGAAAATGCCATTGCACATTCCTGTCTCTGTGCCTTGGCTCATGACATGCCATCTATGAGGACTGTCTTCCCCTCTTTTCTGCTTGTCTATGTGCTACTGTTCTTAAAAAGGCCAGTTCAAGTCCCAATTCCTTCATCAAGTCTTCCTTAATTACCTGAGCCCACAATGATATCTTCATTTCCTGAATTCCTGGAGCATTTTATGTACATCCATTTGGCACTTATATGCTACCTTGTATTATAATTTATCTTTTTCACCTATAGGTTTTGTCTCTTCTGCTATGTAATCTAAGGTTCTTGAAGGCAGGCATGTGTTTTAACCTTTTTGTATTCTCTTGCACTTAGCACAATGCCTTGTCTGTAACTGACTTTTCTGTTTTGTTTTTTTTTTGTTGCTGTTCTTCTTGATGATAAGAATCTCTTGTTTTACTTCCAATGGAAGAAGCTAGAAGTTTAACAACATTTTATTTAGAAGATTTTATGTTTCCTAGAAGGCAGAAGAAGGAACCCATAATCTGATCTTTTATTATGTTCTATGACAAATTTATCTGTGTTAGCAGTCAATGAATATTTATAAAAATTCTAAAGACAAGCATACATATACCTAATTTTGCTATGACTGACTGCATTCTGGAAGTCCAGTTTGAAGAAGAAAAATAACACATGTGCAAATACTTTGCAGTGTTACCAAATGATATTCCAAGATCATATCCCAACATTTGGAAAACAGACAACTTGCCATTTCCTTTAATAAATGAGAATTTAAAAGCTATCACTGCATTCTGTCATCTTGTAAGTATATTGTCAGAAAAGGCAGTAATAAGTAAAGAACCAAGAATTTGCATTTTGAAAACCAATGCATTCCAGTAACCAAATGAGCAGACTGAGTATGGCATCACCTAGCACATAGCTTAAGACAAAACAGATCTACAGCGATTCTTCTCTGAGCTCCTTCAAACATCTGTATGAACCCACCAGCACCTAGAATAACTTTGTCCCCTCTAAGAAACACTCAACAAATGTCTGGTAAGTGAATGTTGAGTAAAGGAAATATAGTGTCTCCAACAAAAGGCATACTTTAAATAGAGATATATAAATAAAGAATTTTAGCTGAATAGAGAATAAAAGTACTAGTAACTTGGTGTCTTTAACTTTAAAAGATTCATCTGAAATGATCTCAGGGAAGACCTGAGTTTTGAAGGCAGACAGGAAGTCAGAAGAATATTCCAACAGGAAGAATATTGCATTTAATAGCTTAAGGGCAGAAGAAACCAGTAGCCTGCAGTTTAAGTCTCTTACTTTGTAAGGAGGTTTTCTGATTGCAGCAGAATATAAACAGACATATACTGAGAATTAGGGGGAAGAATTGGGAAAGGGTGTAGCATGAGTAACAAGTGCTCTCTCTGTGTATGTATGTGTATGTGCCCAAAAATAAATGTTTAAGGAGTTTAGGTTTGATTTTTTTTTAAGGCAGTTGTGAGCCTTAAACTTTAAAGTCTATAAGAAGTGACGTGATAAAAATGATGAAACGTTTCATTCATTTTAGCCAAAATAGCACAGTGGAAACTTCATGTAATCTTATCTGCAATTTAACCTGTAACACAGTTGACTCAGCCAGACAAAGGCCATAGAACAGATTAGAAAATAAATAGTTCATTAAAATTATAATCAAAACAACATGTGATGATATGAGCTTCAGAAGGCACCTTGCCTTCCCTAGAAGCCCAGTCCCAGCCTCGCCCTTTGAGATGAAGAGTAGAGAAGGAAAAATATAGCCCAGGCTGATAAGGATGATGAAATTGAATGAGGTGGAAAGTAGGCTCAGTGTGAGCACTCATAGGTGTAAGCTGTCTCTTTTGTTTCCCAAAACGTTGCTCTAAAATCAGCCTCTGATAGATAGCAGGAGATGTCAGTACAATCCATTCTGTATAATGAGGACAAATCAAAGAATCAAATGTACCATATGGACCTCTCTGCTCAGGGATGAATGGGAAGCAGAGATTTTTGAATACACCTCTCCATTTCTCCTTTGAACATGGAGGTGAGATTGGGCAGATGGAAATGCTACAGGACAGCAAAGGCTCAGAAAATCAATAGAGTGGCAAAGTTGTGGGAGCTAGAAGATGATTTCCAATTCACAGGCATGGGCCGAATGAAAAAAGATCACATTTAGGAGAGGTAGCATGAGGAATGCAGCATGAGGAGAGTTAGGCGCCTACACCAAATGGGAACCAGGTGTACATGTGAGTGCATATATTAAAGGTCAGCAGATGAATGCATGAATGTATGTGTACATGTATGCATCTGCATTCTTTCCCTTAATGATAAAGAACATCATTTTCATTTAAATACTCTATTAATCTCCAAAGGTAGTTCAAACAGTAGGCAGGAGTGACAGTTTCCAGGAAGGATGGTTTAGATTGATAGAACTAGACTGAATTCTGATGCTACACTCATCTTTTTGATTCTGGGATAACTCATATTAACACAAACTTGTTTAAGACTGTATGCTGTATCTGGGAGGGACAAGTTTGAGGCCTTTGCAGGATATTTTGAGTTATATGGTAGATTTCATAAAGAAAAGAGCAAATAGCAAGTTTTAAAACGCCATTTCAAAATGGCTCTAGTCCCCATTTTTATCAATAGCTTAAAGTTCTGTAGGGTTACTGAGTGTGAACACACGTACTATGGATTTAGGAAAACTAGTCTTAAATCTCAAAGAAAGCAGCTATTTGGAATATAAACAACATTATTTTTTTTCATATGTGACATTTCTGGAAAAAAGTATTAAGGAAAATTCATGTATTATTTTAGAAGAAAAAATTTGCTTGATTTTAGTACCCAGATCTCTCATTTACAGTTGACTACAATCATCACAACTGATTTACAGTAAAAATAAAAATATGGTAATTTTAAAGAATATAAGTAGCTTAAGAAAAACAGTCACTTTTAAGTATACCTTAAAAAATACAAGGTGCTCCAAAAGTTTTAGTGCAGCTTTCAAAATACAGTAAGATTTTTTGAAAATCCTGTATACATATAGGGATCTACATGTATTTAACCATTATTTATAGCAAAACACCATAATGGAATTTATATGCTAGCCAATCAAATTTTTGATAAAGAAACATAGGATACTCTATAATTGTTGTTATTATTATTAGTAGTAGTATTAGCTACTCTTGCACAAAGGCATGTTGTTTCCTGAGCAAATCAAACAAATTAATAATGTGCTCTTATATTGAGAAAAATAAACATAATTTTCTGTCTAGTGTGATAATTTAGCTTAGTACTAAGCTTCATGCATCAATAATTGTGTAGTTCATTAAAATTTAACAATAGAAACTTCTGGTATAAAAGTTTTAAAATTGCTATTTGAAAATTCTAACATCCCCAGAGGATTGCAGTTTTATCTTTTAAAAGTTGTAGATTAAAGGGGTGTTTCTGTTAATCCTGCAATGGTCAATTTATCAGCACAGTCATCCAGTATTATAAAGCCACTAAAGAAATAGTTAATTGTAAAATGTGAGGCCAAAGTATCTATGGAGCAGAGCTGCCTCGTTCCCAGAGGGCTGCCATCTGGGGTTGTTTATTTGTGTTTTCAACTTTCTGGAACAGGGAGTTTCTCTGTTCCAGACAGGACACCCAGCAAAAGGAAGTGTCCTGCACTGAGCTGGCTACCGCTAAGCCATCCATACAAACTTATTTCAGTCAAAATATGAAATGATCACTTACAATGATAATACACTTAGAAAAACAAATAAATTTTAAAACCTGAAAGACCATTTCTAGCAAGCCTACAGGACTCAAATACATCTTGTGTTTGTCCCCATACTTTTCCTTCTTTCTTATACTGTCACTATGGTTATGGCTAATTCCTCTGAAAACTGAACATATATCATGGATTCTCCTGAAACAGTTACTTGATTCGGTCAGCAAGGAACATTTTCCAAGCACTTTTGCTCAACTTCCCGAAAGTACAGATAAACTAGGTTTAAAGAAAACATTTAGAAGATAACTAAGAAATTGAACATGTTTACTTACAACATTAAATTTAAAGCATAAGGCTTGAATGACCAATCTGAATTTGACCATCTCTTTAAAAAAGGCATAAACCAACATTTAAAAATCAGTAGCGGCTTCTCTTTGAAACAATTTGGGAGACAAAAAGAAGATAAAAATACCTTCTAAAGTAAAATCCAGCAATACATATTCATAAGCAAAGTCTGTCTTTGTTTCCACTTGTGGTCTCTTCAGTGTCGAAAATATTTTTCCCGGGCTGCTATCATCTGGGTCTTCTAGTTTTCTAAGTCCGCACCCCATGGCAAGATCTGCAAAGAATTAAATTGCAGGAAAAGGGGGGAAGCGCTGCAAATTGTGTTGTTCAAGCTGCAAAAAGAAAGTCACCAACTTAACTGCCTGGATTTTGTTTACAGCTAAGCCATAAACCCCCAAGGAGAAAACTTTTGGGTTCCCAGTAAAAAGCTGAAGAGATTTTCTATCCATTTTTACGCAGAAGCATCGAACCCATGATCAAGCGACAGCTTCAGGAGAGCGGGCTTGATCTTGGAGAAACACACAAGCTGCAACAACTTAGCCGAGATTTTCCATGCCACGTCAATTTATAGCCAGCCCCCTAACAGTGAGGGCTCCGTTGCACAGGGCACTAAGAGTGCTTTGTCCGTCCCTGTTGGCGGAATCATAAGGAGGTGCTGGAGAACTGAAATAAAGAGGCAAGAGTGAGACTTGTGTGTAATTACCTACAATTAGAAGATGTACTCATACAGTAGCAAACAATTCTCCTTTGCCTTCCTCTCTTCCTCCCAATTCTACCCCTCCTCCCTTTTCCCCTACCACCAAGAAGGCAAGGGAGAAAAAAAAAATTAGAAGGCTAGTCGGAGTGAAGGAATGAAAAAGCAGATTTTCAACATGGTTGGAAATGAAGATCATTTCCAGAAAGGAAGTTGGCTTTGAGAGGAAACAGTTTCTTGCCTTGCAAAGGAGAGAAAAGAAAAATATTTTAGTCCCTGTTTGAAATCGGAGGATTTGTTTTCTGTTTTCTTTCCAATTGAATTTCCTTTTTGCTAGAAAGGTACAGATTATACTGTTATCACAGCACAGAAACAGAATGATGAAAACCTCAAACATAATGGAAGTGTGAACATTACAACAACTTAATTCCAAAGGAGTGACAGTTTTTTGGATTTTTTCCCCCTCATCTCCCCCAAGTCCTCAAAATATGCCAGAAACCTTAGAATACTAATTAATCACAATGTCTCTGTAGCACCAGAAATATCATTATTAATGAACACTGATGATATTACAGCCAGATGTTTAATTTTGGCTAGGCACAATTTGTGTTAGCTCAGCAGTAATGACTGTTGATTTCACTTTATCATCTATGGAGCAGAGAGAGGATTGATATATTTTTATGTAGGTGAATGAAATGAAAATTTAGAAGAAAACTATTTTAAATAATAACAATAATAACATACATCAATAGAGCATTTAAAATTTACAAGCCCTTTTCTTAAAATAACCCTGTGAAATTAGTAGTGCAAATATAGTGACCCCTTTTTACAGATAAGAAAACTGAGGCTCAGGGAGTTTAAGTGATTTATCAAGGGTCACATAGCTGGTAAGATCAGTGTGTCAGATTCTGAATTTGATAGCAGGTCTTACCTGATTATAACTATACCTACATTATTCTAACTAGCTTAAGTTTAACAGTCATAATCAAGTTTTGGTTTCTAGAGCATAACTTAGCAAAGCGTACATGTCTGAAATGCATACATATCTGAAACATGTAATGGAAGGAGCCCTGAATTTCTTCATTTCCTACATGGCTGCATTCCTCTGGGGTTCTTTGGGTTTCTCCATCACATCCCCAGAAACTTCATCACTGGGAAATCTCATCATCCTGTGAAATCCAATCAGCCTTAATACTCATACCTTATCAGTGCTCTCTTCCCCTCTGATTGGAGGATAGTCATGTCCTCCCAAACCTCCCTTTAAGGAAAGCGACCCAGACCAGCCATCTCTGCATTTCAATTGGGGCCACACTCTAGACTTCATCATGCTTGCGCACTGGTTACCTTCTTCCCCTCTTTGCTTTTCATCTGTGTGTTTTCTTCCATTTGATTGTAATCTCCTTATGGGCAGGGACTTTCTTTTTACCATTTGTATCTCTAGCTCTTAGCATACCACCTGGCATATAGTCAGCACTTAATAAATGTTTATAGACTAAATGACTGATTTGGAATTGGAAGAGCTGAGTTTAAATTCTGGCTCTGACACTTATTGCCCATGTCACCTTGGACAAAGCCATTTCCCCTTTCCAGGGCCTCAGTTTCTTCAGCTGTAAAATAAGGTTGAACTAGACGATTTCTAAGATCCCAACTCTAGATCATGTAAAATTGTCATGCATGGTATCTATTTCAGTATTTGTGAACACAGGCTACCCCTGTGGCAGAGTATCCATTTGAAGCATTTATCTTTGAACACTTGGTTTAAGGTCTTGTATTTTTAAAGAATGATGATAAAAACTCTGTTAATGGCTTACTTTATGCCTAACATTATTTATTGAATGACTAACAGAACTGTGCTAAGCAATGAAAGTGAAAAATAGATGCAGGCAAGACAGTTCCTACCCTCAAAGAGCTTATATTCTAATGGGGGAAGACAATGCATAAGGACATGGTTTGGACATGACTGCGAGATCTGGTTTTGGACTACACAAAGTCTTCATGTCTCATTAGTAGTTGAGGCACAGGGGAAAACTCACCTATAAGAGTCCGGCATCCCAGGGGCAGGTTCCAAGGTTCTAGGGTTAGGTGGTTAAAAATGATGGCCAGAGTGTAGGCAGAATTGTGTGGAAATGGCCAGGAAGTAGCAGCAAAATGTGGTTTTAGGCAAGTAAGATTTTCATGTGAATAGGTATGTATGAGTCAGGTTGTGTGTTGGAAAGAACATTGATCCACGTCCAGTAAATAAAAAGTCCTTAAAAAAAAAAAAAAGAAAGAGCATTGTACTGAAGAAGACCTGAGTTTGAATCCAGTTGTGCCACTTTCTGGCTGTGGGAGCTTGGGCTAGTGACCACTTGCAAGCCAGTTTTTTCATTTTGTAAGGTAATAGCTCTTTCATACATGAACAGTGAGACTCTTAAAAGGGACAAAAGAGCTTTTGTGTATGAAAAACGAATAAAACCCAAGTGGGAAGAAAGTTTTCAGAAAAAATGTGGAGAGATTGACTGACAAAGACGGATAGGAGGACTGGATTGACAACTGCCCCCCAGATGAATGCACTGAGAGGACTTGTTGGAGGGTAGAGAAATGATTGAGGCTTCAGGGCATTGTGGTCTCCCAGATAATAATATGACAAGTCTTTACAGTTTTGAAGGTTGTAAGTCACAAACTGGTAAATCAAATAACTATTTGGAGACTATGAGAAGATTAAATAAGGATGGTCAGTTTCATAATAGAAAGGTGAGTCACTGACCACCAGGAGGCTGTGATTTGAGGAAATGCTAGCAGTAAAGAAGCCAACAAGTGTGTAGTTAAGCTAGGAGGAGAGTAAGCTGACCAGAAGGTTCCAGCTGTTGTGTCAGGAACACAGAGTGTTGTTTGGAGGAGAGGAATTTACTTACGAGATTGAAGAAAAAGCAGGAGTACTCAATGAAAGGGGGCAGAACTCAAGCAGTTTGAGATATTGCTCTCCAGTGCCACCTACTGTTTGAGAAAGGGGAAACCTCTCAAAGATCCTAGTTGGTTCCTTACTGACTTCTCTAGTTGGGAGAAGTAGAAACACAAGGGCAGAGACACTGTGAAGCTTCTTTGCTGTAAGAAGGGATTTGAAAGTGATTGGACTATACAGACTTTTACTGAGGGAAGGGCTGGCTGTTTCTTTCTATTGCCAAACACCAATCTGAGGAGTTTTGCAGATCTCTGGATTGAAGTAATGGTTTATTAATACAATGACCTATCACTTGCTTAGTGCCCTAAGGGTAATTGTTAGTTAAAACAGCTTGTCACTTTTTCATTAGCATGAGAGGAAAGGACTTGCCCTACAGGAAGCTGGTAAGGAACTGAATGGAAATGGTTAGCAGAGAAGGGGTTTCACTTGATGCAGATAATTCCTGAAGGGACTGAGACTATAAGGCTGACTTTGTAGTTGTGAGCAGGCCTGAACACTTGAGGAAAAGGTAATACACATTTACATAGTGTCTACTATGTGCTAGGCATTGTGCTAAGCATATTATCCCAATTTTACAGTTGAGAAAACTGAGGAAAACTTGTGACTTGTCCAAGGGCACATAGTAAAGATCTGAGATGGGATTTGAACTTGTTTTCCTGACTCCAGACCCAGTTCTCTAACCACTGTACCTCTAGCTACTACTGGGGAAACATGAATTTCTCTACTCATGCGTCTCCTTGTCAGGTGTCTTTAAATGTATGTCCACTTTCTCCATTGACATTGTGTGCAACAATGGGAGAGTGTAACCATGTTTATGGTTGAGCTGTAATGCTTTGATTATTTTACTTGCCTGATACTGAGAGTTTTGATGTGATTATTATTATTTTTTGTAACCATAACATTAAGTATATGTTTTATGTTTAAAAGCTGATGGTGTCATGGTGACTCATTTCACGACTGAAGCTTCCCTGGCTTCCTCTAAGTCCCAACCAAAATCCTGCCTTCTACTATAGTAAGCCTTTCTTAACCCTTCTTATTTCTAGTGCCTTCCCTCTGTTTGTTATTTCCTAATTATCCTACATATCACTTCTTTCTACATTTTGTTTCCTTGTTGTCTCTCTCATTAGGTTGTGAGATCAATGAGGGCAGGTACTCTTTTTGTATCTCTAGTGCTTAGCAAAGGGCCTGGCACAGTAAGTACTTAATGCTTATTGACTGACTGACTGATTTTGTGTGAAAGACAATCACATCATTAAAGGCTCTGGAGCTACAGTGGTAAGACTGAATCCTTGACATAGAAGGGTTGCCTCCAGGACTACGAGATAGTTTGAGTTATAGGCACATAGCAGTGGCAATTCTCTATAATTAGTTTATTGTCTATACAATTTGTTTTAATATAATTAATCTTGTCCTGTCTTGTGCTATCTCATCTATTTTTCAACTATCAATGACATTTAAAAAACTGTTATTTGTCTAATTGCTAGGTTGGCTTCTAAGTGTTTAATTTTTTGGCCACAACAACTTATGGAGACCATCTACTAAAGCATGGAGGGGCATGATTTGTGTGTGTGCATGGAGATAATACCCACAGATCCCTGAAGTCTTGAAGCATTGACTTTTTCATGTGTGTGTCTTTTATCTCCCCAATAAGACTACAAGTTGTTCAAGTATAGGAGTATACGTCTAATACTTATTCACTTGTATAACCTACCCACTTCTCAGTAGCAGGTACCATTTGAGTTGAGTAATTTGAAACAAATGAAATGGAAGGGTCATGAGAAATCGTATTACCCAAAGACCTTTCTACAAAGTGGCTGAGTTCTTGGACCAAATTTCTAAATATGTCCTGTATCATTTGGGTATTGTTTATTTTGTGATCGAGTAAAATGCGGTAACAGTATGATTACCACTGATATTTCTGTCATGGGATCTGGGATCCTCCTGATCCCTGGATCTCAAGGTAAGAATCACAGAAAAAGCTAGGATGCAACTGGCTTTCTGCATAATGAAGAACTATTATAACCTAAATAATTTTTATTAC